GGGATCTGTTGCGCTCGCAGAAGTAACTCTACGCTCGACAGCTCTAATTCCTCGTACAACACGAACGACGTCTCTCGGAAGCATCCTCGAAGAGCACGTGAACACGCAGCCGGCGTTTCCTCGAGGCTTCGCCGAAGATCGGAACGATCTTCGTTCCCGTTTCGAAAATACCGTAAATTATCCGCGCGTCGAGAGCTGCGAATAACGCGGGACTTACGACAGCGGCGTGTTGCGGAGGGTAAATATAAGGGATGAAATATAAAAAAAAATGTAAATTAAAAATGTAGGGATAAAATATAAGAAATATAAATTGAAAATATAGGGATAAAATGTAAGAAGTATCGGATGCCCTGTCGCAACGCGCGATCAATTCCGTTCGCTTCGCGGCGACGCGTCGGCGGTCCGCGGCGGCCGAATGAAACGTATTCGCGTCCGCGAGGCGTTTCTTGCGGCGCGGCGTCGTCTCCACGAGCCGCGGAATCGTGTTCGATTTATCGGGAGGCTCGATCGCAGGTAGTCCAACACGACGCGCGCGCGCGAGCGAGAGAGATCGACTGGACGGAGTGACGGCGATAAAACGCGATCGCGACGCACGATAACGGTACACGCGAGTACCGTGTGAAAACAAAACTCTTCGTTGCGTTCGAAATGGTTCGCGGTGTCGGCGGCGGCGAGGCTCCGCCTTTCGACGGCGCTCCCGTGAATACGAAGTACATAACACGATATGACCATCGAAGGTAGTCTTATATTTTATCTCTATATTTTTAATGTACATTTTTGTTTATTTTACCTCTATATTTTTAGTTTACATTTTTTTATATTTTATCCCTATATTTTTAATTTATATTTCTTATATTTTATCTCTATATTCTCCTTTTAGTCTTCTGTGCTTAGGGGCTGGCTAAGATCGTTTGGATTGACGCTGGATATATATTTATGCACTCGCAGCCAATAAAAGTCTCCGCAACAGCAATGAAACGCGCGAACCTTCGGCAGACCTCGAATGCAACATTGATGTCTGATCGCGTTTGCTTTCGTTCTGCATCGATTCATCGAAATCGGGAATTCCGAATTTTTTATTTCGAAGTAGAGTCTGATGATGATTCAGAGCGACTTTGGTGCATCCTGGGCCAAAGAAAACAACCTGTCCGCCGGGGCGGCGGTAAAGCGACAGCTGTGTTGCACGTGAGAGATACAGTGAATTCTCCCTAATTCGCAATTTTCGCGATTATTCGAGCCTTGGGGCTTGTTTTTATATGGTAGATTCTCTTAGATTGTCACTCAATGTGTAGCAAGGTCAATTGTATTTTTAAAAGTGCGAAGATTTATTCTTCTCCTAAGGATTTCTCTTATTCTACTCTAGAAGTCTGTGAGAGATTGATTCTCTTATTTGCCGTTCCTTAAACAATTCTGTAAAAATAATTGTTCGCTTGAAACTGCGTTTCTTGGTTTACTATAATACTTGGTACACTATAATAGTATACATAATAGTTTTATAGTTACATAATATATATATATATATATATATATATATATATATATACTATAATAGTATATATAATAGTATACATAATAATATATATAATAATATAAATATAATAGTATATATAATAATATACATATATAGTATAGTAGTAATATATAGTAGTACTATAATAGTACGCATAATAGTTTTATAGTTACCTTTATCAAGCTCCCTAAAATATCTTAATCGTATTAAGTCTCATCTACGATGCAATATCACTTGAATTATTCAAAAGATATTCCATGCTCGTTGTTAAAAAAGTTTTTCCAACGTCACATAAATTTAACGCTGAAAGAACACACAATTTTCATCTGCGACAGAGAAATCTTTTCTAGTACCTTAGAACACAAAAATCAAAATATCTCGAAACGAAATATCCAAATATACATATAACTTATACGTAAATAACTTACATTATTTTCAAATCCACCGGCGCATATTGTACAATAATTATATCATTTCTTCACAAAAGTATTTGTCCGTGACAAATAATACCAAAATCCGTTTACTATTCCAAACATAATTAGTCCAATTCACATATAACCTCTAACAGAATCAGCAACTTCGCGAAAACACATTTATTATTTGTCAATTTTCAGACGCACAACCAGCGAACAAACAGCGAAAACGTATCGTTGCGCGCGATTCTTTAAAAATTGAAACGGAAGCGAATAGTCATGAATTTTAATCGCCCGGCTCGCCGCGATAAATAAGTGAAAGTAAACGTGTAAACAAATTCGTTGCGAACGCGCCGCGAATTCCCGAGGAATAAAAGAATATCCGCGCAGCATATAGCCGGAGGATGCGCTACTCCTTCGCGCAGCATGGTGCGCGCGCATCGAAATCACGATCTCGTAACGGCCGCACGGCGACAGTTGAATAACAGTCCGTCCGTATATGACCGCGTGCAACGCGAATAATGTCCGGCAATTAAAACGCGCGGTTGCGGACGATGAAAGTGAATTCGAAGATTGCTATCTAGATCGTTCCGTCTTCAACGATTTAATCGGCGCGTACGAACGATCCGCGAATGGAAACTCTACCTCTGCCACCGTAGCCGGCCGGACGCGCGTTTCCAAAACGCGACGATTTTCGCCGTTTCTAGCCGCGCATTTCGTTGGCAGAGAATTTAGCGAGAAACGCGAACTGTGTCGAAGAGGTGTAACGCCCGTCGTACCGCCTCCAGAGAATAATCATTTTGCAGAGTGTGACGCAAGTCGGTGAATCGGACGTTTGTATTTTTTTTTTTCGCTGGGAATCGTTCCCCCGGAAGCGGCGAGGTCGGCCATCTTTCCCGTTTCGCAGGCCGTCGAACTCGAGGCAGACACTCGGCTCGCCCGTCATCCGAATAACTTGTTTTTTTTTAATTATTATAATATTATTATATATTATATAATTATTATAATATTATATAATTATTATATTTTTTTTTTTAATTATTCATCGCCAACGAACAAACCGGTCGTATTAAATTCGTCGCCTAATTATGGATATCAAAATTACTTCCACGTACATATACAGGGTGGGGCATTTGAAACCGTAAATAAAGACAAAGACACCGTATTAACTCGCTTGTTTTTGACAATAGAAAGAAAAGTGTCGGACAAAAGTTGTTTGACTTCAAGGGGCACGTAATATGATGTCGATGATGTTTTTACAGATGCAGGCGTAGAGGACGTATGAAGGTCAAACTTGTTTTTTTAAATGGGACGGTCTAATTTTTCGTTTATATTCTGATAGAGCCTTTCGAGACGAATACAGTGACCTATGAATGAAGGTCGTTCAAGGTCATAACATATGAAGCAGTCAGACCTACATTTGTCAATGCTGTTGCATATGTGAAAATGTTTCAAGAAACAGGAAGCGCGGCGAACAAAACACCCGATCGAGCTGAAAGAGTGGCTAATGAGGCGAATCAGATAAATATTTTAACCGCTGTAGAACAACATCCGCGTGTTAGTATGTATAAGGAAACTTGAACGCGACGGAAGAATTTGTTTTCCATTGTGGTTCATGTGTTGCGACCTTGAATGATCCGAGGAACCCGCCACTGTCGGATTGCGAGACATTTTTGGGACACTCTGCATAATAATAACGATAAATATAGGGGCTCAGTAATTGGCTCCCCCGTGATAGCACAGTAGTAGAGTGGCGCTATCGTAGTTGCACGCGAAATGAGCCGAGAAGCTGCGAGATTATGCGCGACCTCGTTTTTTCCCTCGATTCGCGAGTTTTCATGGTCAGTGTTCCGCGGCGAACGCCGTCGGTTCTCGACAGAACCGGAACCTTTGTTCTTGCCACATCGGGATCGAAAATCTCGAGAAACTCGGCGGCGCCGAACAAAATCGCGACGAAATTTCCACCCGGCTAAACCGTAATTATTTTAATTCGCTCGACGTTGAAACCCCTCGTCGTACAAGAAAAGAAACACGCGCGTTGAAATATTTATGAACTCTTTTTTTTTTCTTCTTTTTCTTTTCTTTCGCGCGATTATCATCGACGAAAATACATACAACATACTTCGGAATCGCTATCAGCGATGAATAAGAAGCGTTTTTTATGGTTACACGATACGCATTAAAGAGTTTCGTAACGACCACCGGTGAGAACGGCCGGCCTAGAGTGGGCAGGTTCAAGCAAATTCTAGCTTTTATGGCGAATCTTGGGAACGTGACGGACAACGTTAAAAATAAATCGAATGTAATTCCTACCGAGAACTCGTTGATAGAGTTTTGAATGACCGGCGCTGACGCAGGAAAAGAAATCTTTTGAATAATGCATTCGGAGGGAATTATTATATCGCGACGTTTGAGACTGGCTATCCTCACAGAATATAAGTCCGGATTTTTAAACAGTTTTTCTCATTCTTCTGCCTATAAAAAGTCTTTGAAAAAAAACCTCGACGAGGAGAGAAAAGGAAACGAAGATATTGTGAGAATTTCTAACTTTTTCGAACTAGGAGAACTTTTTCAGATCTCCTTGGCAACTCGAATTTATTTATTTGTCGACTGGCGAGTGTAAAATGCACGTTGGTAAAAAATTGCTGTGTTCGCGACCATAGAAATTTGCTTCCATGGCCATCTCAAATTTTTTTATTCTATATTTGTTTATTCTAATTTTTTTTTTAATTTCTAATCCTGTATTTTCGTTATGCTATGTTTTTTTATTCCATATTTTTTTATTCTATATTAATTTTAAAGTGTGCCATCTTTTCGTCCCACCCCGTATAAGACTGGAAAGTACTGTAACCGACGGTTACGTTCGCCGAGAGAGGCCATCAAGAGGACAAAGGGTTAATAATTCCAAGAAAAACGAGTCGACGACTATGCATTCGTCTGTGATAGCAATCGCGTTACCGTTGTGCCACGCGCGCGCTAGAAAATCCGGGCCGATCGAAAGCTGAATGAACAGCGCCAAGAGAGAGAAGTATATAAGTCCACCGGACGCCGATGCTTGCGCAAGTACAAAAATTTTGCAATGGCCGCTGCGCGCCTACGTGTTTTCTCCAGATGCCCCGAGAGATCGTCGTCGGTCTCTCATGCGCGCTGTGCGCATTCCGCGCGCCACCATGACGCTCTGGCGTCACGAGAATTAACTGTGGCTCTTATATAGGTCCACCGTGGGGGCACGCTGTACCACCGCGTGACTTATTATAGCGCTGTGCACCGAGTGCCCTGCCGCAAGAGAAAATTGCGACTGCGATATTTGGAGATACGAATTTGGGACAGCCGACTCGCGGCGTCACTGTAGTTTCAGCGATGACTTTGAGTCCGCAGTTCGAGAGAAAGTGATCCCTTTTTTTCCAAGATGTTCGACTCTTGGAAAATTTTCGGCTAGAATTCTTCAATTTTCAGTGTCCAGAACGACGATGATTTTGTTATAAATTATTGTAATTATTTTCGAAAGAAGCTTCACAGCACCTAAGCGTCATTTAATAGTTCAAATAATTGATATTAATATTTTTTAAGTTTTTTTAATATATATAGTTATATATAATAATTATTATATTATTTATATTTTATTATATTATATTTTTTTATATTTATTATATATATTATATTATTTATATTTTATAATATAATATTTTTAAATAATAATTTTATTTCAAATACCAGCGATGCATGAAAGCGAATAAAAGTCTGAACCAGTTATTGTAAATTATTGCAAATTAGTTTAAACAACAACAGAGTTACAATCGTTAATTAATGTAGAACGTATAATTAATCTATGCGGAACGGGTGTAAAATTGTTTGATTGTACTCGTCGAAGATTGCGACTCGAACCTTTCACTACCGTAACTCAAGACCAATCAAGATGCTTCGAGAATATCATTTCCAGTGCAGGGGGCAAACGGATGTCTGCTTGCGAAAACAGCAAGTTTTTTTTAATATTAAAACTTCAGGAATAGAATTTATTATTTTGATAAAGTATCGTGTTTACGAATTAATGAACCAGATAATGCGCGAACGATAGTTAAAAATATGTTTACTCCGCTGTGAGCACCGATTTCGTTACGACGCGCGCTCTGTACCTCGATTACATGAAAATTACACGACGAACCTAACCTACGAGGCTCTCTCGTAACTGCTGTCGGAAATGTGGTTTCAAAAAAAAAGGTGACCGTCGCAAGGCTATAATATTCGGTAACAGCAATTATTATTTATGCCACTGGTATCGCGATTCTGATTTTGCAAAGTTTTTCCAATATTATTGCAAAATTATAGACTCTATAAAAACAGTATAAGTGTAATACTGTTATTGTAGTATTTTATGATAGATAAAATACTATTACTTATATATTATTATAGTACTACTATAATATATAGTATAGTATTACTACACTATAGTACTATACTTTTATTATAAAAAAAATATAGTAGTACTGTAGTATTATTATAGTATAGTACTATAATAGTACTGTTATTGTACTATACTATACTATATTATATTACTATACTATACTATATTATTATAGTACTATACTATTATTATAATATTTTATGATACTATTTAAGATCGCAAGAATAATAACACGCTGGAGAACAATGCGATTAAGGCGAAAACTGTGACGATGCAATTCTGATTCCGCTAATTTCGCAGATGATTACAGAGTCCAAAAATGACCGAAACAACGGCGAATAGCATGAAATGATGCCGCAGGAAGCGCAGGCTTCCGTGAACAACGTTTTGAAACACGAGTCACGGTATTTTTCCCGTTACGGACGCGCCACTATCGACCGAATTCTTTCGCGATGATTGGCACGGAACAATTGATCACTGGAATTGTTTCGGCGCGGACTGCGCTTCCAACTTTTCTATGCACTGAATGATCTCATATTGCGTCAGTTACCACACACACATACAGTTCCAGCTTGCGCACAGAGCTGTTAAGATATTCCCGTTGAGAAGTCGTAAAACCATATTCGACCCTCGTATCCGACAAATTGGTACGAAAGGCCTAATTTAAATAAACTGTGATTTTGATGTATTTGCGACACAAATAAGGTGCGATTTAAAACATATACAGAGTGCCCCAAAAATGTCTCGCGATCCGAAAGTGGCGGTTTCCTCGGGTGATTCGAAGCAACTTTTTCCTTTACAAAAATTTTCTCCGAGGAACCGTTAACGAGTTATCAACGAAAAACAGTGACCAATGAGAGGCGAGCTCGGCTGGCGCGAGGCGATCGAGCCAACGAGCGGAACTGGGCTTCGCGCGCCGGTTGGCCGGGCCGCCTCGCGTCAGCCGTACTCGATTCTTATTGGTCACNAATTATAGACTCTATAAAAACAGTATAAGTGTAATACTGTTATTGTAGTATTTTATGATAGATAA